GTTTTGGGGTTAACTATTTGCCCGTAGCTGGGACCCTAACAGGTGCTACCACCACAGGTCAGGGTTAACCTGGGAACACCAGAATTATAAAGAGGTGGTTCCATGCTCCTCAAAAACCTCCTTATCAGAGGCCATGCTGCTGGATGTAGTTTATCGTCTTACCCAGGACATGGATGTAGTTTATCGTCATAACCAAAACCAAGGTAGAGGAATCACCTGATTTCCTAATTTTCTATACTTGAAACCTCTTTTTAATACTACGGTTTCCTCATCTAATTCAACTCTGAACATTAATTTCTTTATTTATATATATATATATATATATATATATATATATATATTCTATGCATACACACATGCACACACACATATTCTATGCATACACACATGCACACACACATATACTCTGCATGTGCACAGAGAGGTACATGCACACAATTAAGAAAATTAGCCTTAGAGAAATAGAAAAGGCATTAATTATTTTTTAAATTAATACAAAAATAACAAAAATAAGCAGTCAATTACTGATACCTCTTGACGAGTGGACAGAGCAATTAGTAAAAGGTCTATCTACAAAATTCTGGAGTCAGGATGCTGAATATAGCATCAATCCGCTAAGTAACAAATTTCATATTTGTAGTAATCCTATACATGCACACCTATATACATATACATACATATATATATATATATATATATATATATATATATATATATATATATATGTAGTTTTAAGGTGTGCTATATTTATGGAATAAAGTGCTCAATATCAGAGATAGGTGCGGCCTGGGATTGCATCCAGCATGAAACAGCCTGTCGCCTCTGAGTGTTGACTTCAATGTTCACTTTTATATTTATATGTATAGCACACACACACATATATATATATATATATATATATGTGTGTGTGTGTGTGTATATATATATATATATATATATATATATATATATATACACACAGACATGTCAAGATTTATAACGATGCATTCACATATCATGGAGAGTTCCTTTGCCAAAAAGAAAAAATGTGTTTTATACAAATTGCATTAGCTTCAAACAAGTCACAATTTTTTAAAACTAAAATTCAATTAATTAGATAGGACAAAAATATCAATATTCAAGATGTTTTTTCCTTTCTTTAGAAAATTGACATTTAGTTTCAAATTGAGGAATTTCACTTGATTGAAACAATTTCTATTTATTGATTTATTTTCCTGCATTCTAGAAAGATGAGCATTTTGTTATGCTACCAGTGCATTGTCCAACATTTTGATTATGGCAGAGAATATTACGTACTATACAAGCGGATCTTCCTGCAGTAATAAAATATATTATAATTAAACATTCTAGAGGTGCTAGCAAAAATGTTCTCCTACCACTGCAAGTGCCTCAGATGAATGATAGCGTGCTTGAAATTTGCAGATGTGTTGTTATATCCTGCTATGGCAACAGGAAATGTCTATGACCAAAATTAAATAGTGAAGTAGAGGAACCTATGAAAAAAATGCAGTGAAAAGAAAAGTAGTGAATAATGCAATGTGTTAAAGATTAAAGTATATATATGAATAACATGTACCATGTATTTCCATTTAAAATGACCTATCGATAAAATGAGACCCAAAATCTAACATATCCTTATAAGCTGCACTTCTTGTCTCCTCCATTTATAGAACAACCTCATTCAGTAACCCTCTACCTTGAGTGGCTCTTGGGTTTTCTTTTGGGTGAATAATAAGTAAAAAAAATGAAAGAAAAAGTTGGATTCACAATTTAAGGTTTTGTTTCCTTTCTAAAAATCAGCAGTTTACCGAAATGAGAGAAATTTATATACTTCTATGTGGCATGGCCATTCAGAATGTTGGTGATCATGTCTCTCCATAATTTCCTATCCTTTGTTAATCTTAATAAATTTTGTCTTATTGTTATCTCTCCTAGATCTTATTCTGCAATTCATTTACTCAAGCTCACTATGTAGGTTATGCACTGCTTTCCTCTGTCACTCTGGCCTTAAATCTGTCCTGTGAGCATCAAATTTTCCTAGCCTTCTTTCCTCAATATTTACTCTGCAAATTTCAACTGTCTCTTCTTGATGTTAAGTATAAGTGTCCTTTTTGTTTCCTTAAAAACTTTGTCATTGCTCACATGTTCAGCCCAGAGTACACTTGATGAAAATATATCAAGCTCTTTTGCTTTCAAAACTTTACAAATAAGATTCCCTTTGAAAAATATTCCTCGTCTAACTACCTTTTCTCATTTGTTCAAAGATAATAAGACTTGAATTTCGTTGGGCTTTCAACTACAGAGTTCTGAACTTGGGTTTGAACACAATTCTGTACATCTTTAGGTTTCTTTTATGTTCAACCAATCGTGTCTCTCCATCTTTACCAAAAAAAAAAAAAAAAAACACCCAAAACATATTTTCTTTTCTAACTTGTAAAACCAAAATTGTTGAAAGAAAATTTCTTTGGAGTCCTCATCTTGTATTGAAGTGATTTGTATAACATACTACTGTACTTCCCTATACTTTTTCTGTAAATACTTCCATAGTAATTGTTCTGATGAACCTTCCTCTATGGCCACTATGGTGGACTTTATGGATTTAAACACAGTTCTAGATTAGCCACAAGGTCTACTCATTTTCCCTGTACTTTTTCTACAAATACTTTCATGGTAATTGTTCTGATGAACCTTCCTCTATGGTCACTATGGTGGACTTTATGGATTTAAACACAGTTCTAGATTAGCCACAAGGTCTACTCATTTTCCCTGTACTTTTTCTACAAATACTTTCATGGTAATTGTTCTGATGAACCTTCCTCTATGGGCACTATGGTGGACTTTATGGATTTAAACACAGTTCTAGATTACCCACAAGGTCTACTCATTTTCCCTGTACTTTTTCTACAAATACTTTCATGGTAATTGTTCTGATGAACCTTCCTCTATGGCCACTATGGTGGACATTATGGATTTAAACACAGTTCTAGATTACCCACAAGGTCTACTCATTTTCCCTGTACTTTTTCTACAAATACTTTCATGGTAATTGTTCTGATGAACCTTCCTCTATGGTCACTATGGTGGACTTTATGGATTTAAACACAGTTCTAGATTAGCCACAAGGTCTACTCATTTTCCCTGTACTTTTTCTACAAATACTTTCATGGTAATTGTTCTGATGAACCTTCCTCTATGGCCACTATGGTGGACATTATGGATTTAAACACAGTTCTAGATTACCCACAAGGTCTACTCATTTTCCCTGTACTTTTCTACAAATACTTTCATGGTAATTGTTCTGATGAACCTTCCTCTATGGTCACTATGGTGGACTTTATGGATTTAAACACAGTTCTAGATTAGCCACAAGGTCTACTCATTTTCCCTGTACTTTTTTCTACAAATACTTTCATGGTAATTGTTCTGATGAACCTTCCTCTATGGTCACTATGGTGGACTTTATGGATTTAAACACAGTTCTAGATTAGCCACAAGGTCTACTCATTTTCCCTGTACTTTTTCTACAAATACTTTCATGGTAATTGTTCTGATGAACCTTCCTCTATGGTCACTATGGTGGACTTTATGGATTTAAACACAGTTCTAGATTAGTCACAAGGTCTACTCATTTTCACATTACTAAGTATATCGTGGCAGAACGAAGAGGAAACAACGAAAATTTAAAGCAGTAAACAATCGGATTAACATAAAATACAATAAATGAAAATTCAGGAGAGATGTATCCTGTATGAAAAAAGTGGAGTTGTAAAGGCATCCAGAAGTAGAGGGAGGATGACTTACTGAGGTGACAGCATTAGCAAGTCTGATGTCTTCAGAGATGGGGGGGGGGCTATCTTTTTGACGAGCATGTGAATTTAGGATAAGATGATGTCCAGTTGCTGAATGTTCCTTTCATGGGCTTTTGTCCTTTTGGGGGCTTAAATCGGCTCCAGTTTTCATTTTTCCTTGGGTGGGAGCGGGTGCTATTGGGTAAAAATTCTAAATTCTGTATTGCTTTTTTTTTTCTTTGCATGTGTGGGTAAACAGAAGATATGAGTGAAGCCTTGCATTTTTAGATAAATTTTCACATCCAGCTCATGGTGAAAATTACTGTAGCTTGAATCAGAAGATGTGATTTTGGGAACAATGTAAAACAGCTGAATTGGTACGCTATATGTAACTGTAAGTTCTATGCTGACAGTTTTTTCTGTCGCACTTCTCACTTGTGGAACTCACTTCCAGCTACTTGCCTCCTGGACAATGTTCATCTTCAAAAATTTAAATGCAATTTCAATTGTTATCATGTTTTCTTAATTCTTGTTCTTTCATTGTCGTCTCTCTTTAAAAGTATATTTTTCTCATATTCTCTAACACTCAGTAAAGCCATGTCTTAGTGGCTTTGTTACCTTACCTAGGATGAAATGTTTAAAAAAAAATTCTTTCTAGAAATTTGTTGTATCATTGATGCAACCATTATATTGATATGTTTTCTTCTTTCTTGTCTATTCTCACTCAGTAAACCCATGTCTTAGTGGCTTTGTTGCCTTACTTAGGATGAAATGTTTAAAAAAAATTCTTTCTAGAAATTTGTTATATCATTGATGCAACCATTATATTGATATGTTTTCTTCTTCTTTTTCTATTCTTTCTTGTAAACCCTATTTACAGGCTTTGTTGCCTTAGTTAGGATGAAATGTTTAAAAAAAATTCTTTCTAGAAATTTGTTATATCATTGATGCAACCATTATATTGATATGTTTTCTTCTTTCTTGTCTATTCTCGATGGTAAACCCATGTCTTGGATCTTATCCGTTTTGGATAGGATGAAATGTTTAAAAAAAATTCTTTCTAGAAATTTGTTATATCATTGATGCAACCATTATATTGATATTATTTTCTTGTCTATTCTGACTTAGTAAACCCATGTCACTTAACTGGGGATGAAATGTTTAAAAAAAAATCTTTTAGAAATTTTTTTTTGATGCAACCATTATATTGATATGTTTTCTTCTTTCTTGTCTATTCTCTCAGTAAACCCCATGTCTTAGTGGCTTTTAGTCTGAAAGTTTTAAAAAAATTCTTTTTAGATTTTTTTTTTTGATGCAACCATCTATTCTATGTTTTCTTCTTTCTTGTCTATTTCAGGCTGGAGTTGTCTCATAATCTGCTAGTTCATACTCTTTAGTTTTTTTTTTCTATCCGTTTTCTCTCTCTGTAATCTTCGCCACCTGTTGCCCATTCTCATTACTCTAGTTAACTGGGGAGGGGTAAGTAAAATATCTTTATTTTTTTTTCTCTCTCTCTCTCTCTCTCTCATTCTCTTCTCTCTCATTCTCTCTCTCTAGTTCATCTTCTCTCATTTCTAGTACTCTCTTTAGTTTTTTTTTTTTTTTCTCTCTTCTCCTCTCTCTCTCTCTCTTTAGTTTTTCTCTCTGTCTCTCTCTCTTCTCCTCATTACTCTAGTTCATACTCTCTTTAGTTTTTTTTTTTTCTGTCTCTCTCTCTCTCTGTCTCTCTCTGCTCTTCTCCTCATTACTCTAGTTCATACTCTCTTTAGTTTTTTTTTTTCTCTCTCTCTCTCTCTCTCTGCTCTTCTCCTCATTACTCTAGTTCATTCTCTTTAGTTCTCTCTCTGCTCTTCTTTTTAGTTTTTTTTTCTTTCTTCTTTTTCTCTCTCTCTCTCTCTGCTCTTCTCACTCATTACTCTAGTTCATACTCTCTTTAGTTTTTTTTTTCTCTCTCTCTCTCTCTCTCTGTCTCTCTCTCTCTGTCTCTCTCTGCTCTTCTCACTCATTACTCTAGTTCATGCTCTCTTTAGTTTTTTTTTTCTCTCTGTCTCTCTCTCTCTGTCTCTCTCTGCTCTTCTCACTCATTACTCTAGTTCATACTCTCTTTAGTTTTTTTTTTCTCTCTGTCTCTCTCTCTCTGTCTCTCTCTGCTCTTCTCACTCATTACTCTAGTTCTCTCTCTCTTTAGTTTTTTTTTCTCTCTCTCTCTCTCTCTGTCTCTCTGCTCTTCTCACTCATTACTCTAGTTCATACTCTCTTTTTTTTTTTTTGTCTTTTTTCTCTCTGTCTCTCTCTGCTCTTCTCCTCATTACTCTAGTTCATACTCTCTTTAGTTTTTTTTTCTCTCTGTCTCTCTCTCTCTGTCTCTCTCTGCTCTTCTCACTCATTACTCTAGTTCATACTCTCTTTAGTTTTTTTTTTCTCTCTGTCTCTCTCTGCTCTTCTCACTCATTACTCTAGTTCATACTCTCTTTAGTTTTTTTTTTTTCTCTCTCTCTCTCTCTCTCTCTCTCTGCTCTTCTCTCATTACTCTAGTTCATCTCTCTTTAGTTTTTTTTTTTCTCTCTCTCTCTCTCTCTGTCTCTCTCTGCTCTTCTCTCTCATTACTCTAGTTCTCTCTCTCTTTTTTTTTTTTTTCTCTCTGTCTCTCTCTGCTCTTCTCACTCATTACTCTAGTTCATACTCTCTTTAGTTTTTTTTTTCTCTCTGTCTCTCTCTCTCTGTCTCTCTCTGCTCTTCTCACTCATTACTCTAGTTCATACTCTCTTTAGTTTTTTTTTTTCTCTCTGTCTCTCTCTCTCTCTGTCTCTCTCTGCTCTTCTCACTCATTACTCTAGTTCATACTCTCTTTAGTTTTTTTTTTCTCTCTGTCTCTCTCTCTCTCTGTCTCTCTCTGCTCTTCTCACTCATTACTCTAGTTCATACTCTCTTTAGGTAGGGGAAAGTAAAACTTATCCCTTTTTTCTTTGATGCATTTTTTCAATTGGTTTTGTCTTTTTGGAAAGCAAATATCCAGCAAATATCTCTCTTTGGGTAAAAGTGAGTAAAACTTCTTCATTATCTCTCTCACATCCTTTCTTCTGAAGTCAATATTAAAACTTGCTGCAAAATATTGTTGATTCATTTAGGATAGAACGATCTATTATGACATGTCTCTAATTTCTACTTGATTTGTTCACCTATATTGCATATGATATCTTATCATATATAATTAGGTTACAATAAAATTTGTATTTTATATGAATACTACCTTATGAAAATTCTGATGTGGGAAGCCCCCATATCATAGATTCAGATGGAGGAGACTCAAGACCTTTGCACTGGCTAAGAAGTACAGGAACAGCAAAGATGGTTTGATCTGGGAAGGGCGTACATCTAATAAAAGACCTCTACATGCTGAAAATGAAATAAATCCATTTTTTTCTTTCACTCCATTTTTTTTTTAATTCTCTTGTAACAGAAGTGTTTGGAAGAAAGATTTATTCTCCCATTTGCATTTCCCCCATTATTGGCATTATTATATATGTGATATAATAACACCATAATTCATGGATGTGATGGAAAGTAATAACAAGTGTGCTTTGTTCTCAGAGAGACTTTTATAATACTAAGACAAACACAAAACTATATATACATATGTACACATGTCCCATGCAGAGAATAATATATCACATATACCTACATAGCAAAGCAGAGTGAAAGGAGAAACAAAAAGGAAGGCTCTTAGATATAATATGGGGATATTTCTGGGTCTAGAGATGCCATTTTTAGAACTCCAGATTCAAATGAGGACATATTGTACTAACAGGAAACAGCAAGTCTTGGGGTTTCCCAAATTGTGGACTGTGAGTTGGAGTTTCATTCTATATCTCGGAAAGATATATTCCCAAAAAGAAATGGCACCATGGACTTGTAAGCTGCTCAGACAGCAGATTTAGCCTCGGTCTGGGCCATGACAGGCCCAAGCTAAAGAAAGCTACCTTACAGTTTGGTTGCTGTAAACGAACTGAAAAATGACTGGTGCTTTTGTCACTGTATGGCATGATGTCATTAAGTGGCAATAATGTGACCCATGTGACTTATCTGCACCAAAGGGAGATAAGTGGCTTCTGTATCCTTACAGCCTTTTTCATTGTTTTTACAAAAAGGCATTCACCATTTTTCTTTCTTTTTTACTCACTTTTCTTTTTCTCTTTTACTACATTATAATCTTTCACCCTCTCCAGACATTTTTCTCTCACTTTTGCATTCTCTCTCAATTCAACTTCTACTATATCGCAGTTCTTCAAATTCATTTTTTTTTAAATTCTTTCATTTATTTTTTTTTTTTTGATATCCATTTTCATTTTGTATTTCCTTTATTTCACTTCCTCTCAACTTCCTGCAAATCTTTCTAACAAAAGAGTTTCAGGATAAAATTTTGTGCTAATCAGAAAATCTTGGCATGGCATAATTTGTTATTTGTCAGCCATTTTTGATCTGCTATAATTTTAGATATTTTCTTTACAGGAAAATAAACACTAAATTTACAAACAAAAATCAGAAGCATTTTCATCACTTTTCCAAGATGTAGCCAAAAAGGAAACAGTAATTTTATTAAAAATATTGTATTTTTTTCTATTTTCAAATTCCCCATTTTATTTCACTTAGAACACAAACAAGGAAAAATTCTTTATTTTGGGAATATTTTTTAACCCTGAAAACACTTCAAAAGGCTTTTTAGAAAGTACTTCAGCAATACAGAAATAGCCATATATTAACCCTTAAAAAGAAAGTTTTTTTTTTTTTTCCTGAGATAGTTGAAAATTCCACCCCCCCTAACACAAGTGATCAGGCATCCAGGGCATGATAAACTACATCTGACAGAAAGGCTTCTGATTGAGAGGTTTTGAGGAGCATGGAATTACTTCTTAATTGCTATTGTTCTCAGGTTGACCTTGACCCAGGGTGATAGCACCTGTTAGGGTTCCATGTAAATTGTGAACCCCAAACTGGGGCCAAAAAACTGAAACTATAAAAATACCTTTTTATAGTAAAAAAAAAAAAAAATTACCAGTAATAGATTTTTGTAAAAAGAAAAAAATTACTCAAGCATCCAAGAAAATTACATTTTAGCATGAAATGATCCATAAGGTATTGATATGCCATTAAACAAACAAGTGGTCAAGCAGGAGAAAACGCAGGCTGACCAAACATCATAGATTTGTACAAAATACTACATCTATCCTCTGTTGTCTCTGGCCTTGTATCTCTTTCCCTCTATTTGACCTGTGAGTATTAGATTCTCCAACCCCTCTTTCCTCATTATGTCCCAGAAACTTCAGCTGCCTCTTCTTGATGTTAAGTATAAGCTTACTCCTTGTTTGCATCCTCTCTAGGAACTCATCATTGCTCACACGCTCGGTCCATGATATCCTTAGCATCCTTCTGTAGAACTACATCTTAGATGAAAATTACTTCTTATTGTCTTAGATGAAACTTACTTCAGTAAATATCAGTGGAATGTTTCCATCAGAAATTTTCTTTAATAATCTTTGACCAGTTTTTTTCGTATCCTTGCCTTTTATCATAGTTTCCTGATGTCCTCTGATAAATTACTGTTAATTAAGAATAAAAATCTTGGTTTTTTTCATCAGTCATATAGATTAGAAATGAAATGCTACATTAACCATCCAAGGCATCTCCTTCATAGAAGAACAATCACATCAAGTTTAGTCAGTACCTAGATGGGTGACTACTTTGGGAATACCAAGTGCTGGCCAGTTACAGGTTGGTGAGGTTAAAAAACCCATAGTTGGAGGTTTTGAATACAGAGTTGTTCTTCTAGACTAGATGCCACACAAGACTATAGAATCTAGTCTTTCCTGCTATTTTACGCATACCTGAGGGAGAAGAGATGGATTCATATGTTTTATAAGGGTATTAGCACATAGATGAATGATTAGAATCAGAACTCTGTTCTCTGATTCCTTGATTCAAGCTGCTATCTGTTTTATTTTATAGTTCATCCATCCATTGTAGTAACAGTAAAGGTTTTGCTGATAGATTTTTTTTTTACTCCTGTAGCAGTAGAGACTTCTGGGGTTATTGGCCCTCGTTCAATGGCGTTCGTTCAGAGGATTGGTGGGATAGTGTCTTGATTAAGGGACAAAACTTGCAAAACAGAGTGGTTCTTGCAGTGTGTCTCACTGGTGATGGTTTGAGGTAATGCTTTCTCCATCATTGCGGCTGGCAGAGGATAGCAAAAGAATACATTTTATTTATAGTTACTTTGTTCAAACTTTTTTTTTAATAAATTCACTCTGTTTCTTTCAAAGTTTTGTTTTTATAAGGAATTCATTTTTGGCTTTTGCTGTATTGATTCCATGTTATTTAGAGAGTGTAAAAATAAAAAATTTCTTCATTTTACTTTATTGATTTGAAACTTAAATTTTCCAGGAACAATTCTTTGTTAATTTACAATATTATTACTGCATAATTAAAAATTTATGAACTCTAATATCTGCTACCACCCAGTTGTACCTAAAAATAGTACTTTTAGAATTTTATTCTCCAAATTTTAGAAAAGTCCCTTTATTATAGTTTTCTTTGTGTTTCTGCTACACCCATTTTGTCTAATTTTGTCAATTTTCAAGATAATTATAATTCCTTTTAGTAAAATTCTAACAAGAGTCTCGCAGCGACAGAGATGTAGTTCTACAGAAGGATGCTAAGGATATCATGAACCAAGCATGTGAGCAATGATGAGGTCTTAGAGAGGATGCAAATAATGAGGAAGCTTATACTTAACATCAAGAAGAGGCAGCTGAAGTCACATAATAAGGAAGGAGGGCTTGGAGAATCTAATACTCACAGGTCGAATAGAGGGAAAGAGATAGAAGGAAAAACAATGTGTGATATACCTGACAGGCTTAAGCAAGTGGATCACAGAATGTGGTCTGGGAGAGTAAGCAGGGGGAAGGAACTTGTTGAGAGTTGCAAGGGATAGCGGGAAGTGGAGAGCCATGTTTGCCTACAAAAGAAAATCTTAACTGTTAAGCATGCTATTATTTTTTTATTATCATATAGCAATTCTGCTTGTTTCTTCCAGAAAGAAATCAGACAGCAGAATTTGAATTCCACTTGGATTCATTACCTTCTCGTAGGCGCAAATATCCTTAAGAAAGGCATGAATCCATCTCTTCCATCAACTATGGGTTAAATAGGAATTGTATCTAGAAAAATCATTGTGTCACAAAAGGTTGATAACCAATAATAAAAAAATGTCTTCCTTAATTTACACCCTGTAATAGCTTGCCTGTCCTCTGCCCACAAATTTCTAATAAACAATTGGCCTTTCCTGTTTGAATCTGATGCATTGCTTTGTTTTCAAGAAAAGAAGAGAAAAGAAAGAGAAGATAGAGAAAACACTCTTAAGTGTTTGACATTTTCTTTTACGTAACATGTTGCTTCAGGACATAGATGATCATGGCCCATCACATCTTCCTGTCCCTTCTAGCTCTTTGAAGTTCTGTCATTTTTTATTTCTCCCAAACCCTGTTCTACTATTCATTTACTCAAGATCATCAAGTATGTTACATCTTGCTTTCCTCTGTCCCTCTTTCCTTCAATCTGTCTTGTGAGTATCAGATTTTCCAAGCCATCCTTCCTTATTACATCACCCAGCCTCTTACATGTTAAATGTATGTTTCCTTTTTGTTTGCATTTTCTCTTGCTCAGTCCATGGTATCCGCAGCATCTTTTTGTAGAGCCACATTTCTGTTGCTTAAAGTCTCTTCTTCATCTTTGAGGAGATTGTCCAACATTTGCAGATATCATGTAACAGTTCAATAATCTTTTCCTTGTCTCAAATTTTTTTTGTCTCCTCATACTCTGCTTAGTTTTTAGAATGCATCTTTGGACTTCTTTAATGAAATGGAAAACTTTGTTAGTTTTGAAAACTTCTCCTTTATACCCTTTTACTTCTTTAAATAACAACTTGCTTTCATATCTATGATTGTTATTGCAATATTTTGTCAAAGTTCTTCAGTTCAAATATTTAGTGATGTAATGGGAGAATTTTCAATGGTATCTTATAGTCATGGAACACAAAATAAGCTTATTTGCTTAATTTGAGAATTAAGATTCCTCAAAAAATGGAAATAGGAAATCCTTGAAATTTTCAGTGGTATCCTTCTTCTTGTATGTGCCATGACCCTTCTAAACATTAGCCATCCTAGCTCTCCACAATTTCCTGTCCGTTGTAGATCTTAATAAATTTTGTCTTCTTGTTATCTCTCCTAAACCTTGTTCCACCATACATTTACTCAACCTTATTCATCTTCAATGTGCCCTGTCCCTTGAGGATGTAAGCGATCATGGCTCTCCACAATTTCCCATCCTTTCTAGCTTTTAATAAATTTCATCTTTTTGTTATCTCTCCTAATCCTTGTTCTGATAACCATTTATACAAACTTGTTCTTCTTTTCTATGTTCCTTGTTTCTCCAGGGCGTGTGTGATCATGGCTCGCCACAATTTCCTGTCCATTTTAGCTCTTAATAATCTTGTCTTTTTGATATATCGCCTAAACCTTGTTCTGCAATGTTCTGATTTTCTCTGTCCCTGCTCAATTCAACCTGTCCTGTGAGTATCAGATTTCCAAAGCCCTCTTTCCTAGAAATTTCAACTCTCTGTTGCTGATGTTAAATATAATTGTCCTTTTTGTTTCCCTTTTCTCAAAAAAATTGTTGTTACTCACATGTTCAGTCCATGGTATGCCCAGGATCCTTCTGTAGAACACCATTTCTGCTGATTCAGTTCTCTTCTTCATTGTTTTAATTAAAAAACAATATTACAACTACAAATTCTCAATATTCTCTTTAGGATGTGTGTGATCATGGCTCTCCATAATTTCCTGTTCTTTGTAGATCTTAATAAATTTTGTCTTTTTGTTATCTCTCCTAATTCTTGTTCTGCCAACCGTTTACTCAAGCTCATTTTATGTTCCTTGTCTCTTCAGGACATGTGTGATCATGGCTCTCCACAATTTCCTGACCTTTGCAGCTCTCAATAAATTTTGTCTTTTTGTTATCTCTCCTCTCCTTCTATGTTCCTTGTCTCTCCAGGACATGTGTGATCATGGCTCTCCACAATTTCCTGACCTTTGCAGCTCTCAATAAATTTTGTCTTTTTGTTATCTCTCCTCTCCTTCTATGTTCCTTGTCTCTCCAGGACATGTGTGATCATGGCTCTCCACAATTTCCTGACCTTTGCAGCTCTCAATAAATTTTGTCTTTTTAT